TCCACTGCCACGGAGCCTGCTTGCCTAACAGCATGTGTAATGGCTCTGCCACTGCAGCTTTATGTGGGAGAAATGCATGGTAAAAATTTAATAGCCCCAAGAAGGCTTGCAGCTCACTCTTAGACTTAGGAATTGGGGCCTGCTGGATAGCTTGCAATTTAGTTTCAGCAGGGTGAATGCCTTGAGCATCAATCCTGAATCCTAAGAATTCAGTAGAAATGACTCCTATCTTACATTTATCTTTCTTTAGTTTAAGGCCTGCTTTTCGAAAACAAAGCAAGACAGCCCTTAATCTTTCTGCTAAATTTTGAGATGACTCCCCAGCAATGAGGACATCATCAAAGTAGGGACAGACCCCAGGAATAGCTCGAAGTGTGCTCTCCATGTCTCTTGACCTTGAAGGCCCTGCTGTGAGTTACAATAGTCTGGGCCTCAGCAGCTGCCTCATCAACAGGTAGCTGTTGATAGGCCTGTGCCAGGTCAAGCCTCACAAAAATGCACCCCCCCCTTGAGGGAGGCCAAAATGTGACTTACCACAGGCACTGGATAAGTGTGCTGTTGCAGCACCTTATTCAGTGTGCACTTATAGTCTGCACATATATGTATGTCCCCATCAGCCTTTAGAGGCGTTACTATGGGAGCTTCCCATGGACTAGAATCCACAGGTTCTAGAATGCCCTGCTGGAACAATTTGTCCAGCTCAGCATCAATCTTGCCTTTGACGATAAAAGGTACTCTCCTAGGCTTAACCCTGATGGGCATGGTGGTTGGGTCTAACTGTAGCGAAATTGGAGGCCCCGTGTAGGATCCTAGCTATGAACTAAACACATCTGCAAACTCCTTGCAGACTTCTGCAAGGTTCAACATTTGCAAATGGTGCAGCCCAGTTACCTGGATTCCCAGAGCCTCGAACCAATCGAGTCCAATAAGACTCGTATGTTCACCCTCAACAACCACCACATCTAGGGGACCTTCAAAATCCTTATGCTGTACTCTAAGGGTGGCCTTCCCCTTAACACACACCATAGAATTCTGAAAATCAGTAAGTATTAGATTCGATGGCCTGAGTTTAACTCAAAGGCTACTGCTGCTGCATATTCTTTTGAATGTGTTAATTGAAATAATTGAGAGAGCGAACCCAGTGTCCAACTCCATTGATAGGGGAACCCCTTGCAACCTTACGTTAATGGAAAATTTCTTCTTAAGGGGCTTGTGTGTTCCTGTCCTCAAAATACTCCTGCGTGATGCACAGAAACCCACCCTATGTTGGCTGGGGACCCTGGTACCTTTCAGAAGCAATTCTTCATGAGGTTGGACCTTCTGGCGACCCAAACAGACTGATGCAATGTGGCCTTGCCTGCCACACACCCTGCAAATGGCGGAGCAGAACCTGCAGTCAGCTCGCTTGTGGCGTCCTCCGCACCCGAAGCATTGAAGAGATGCTGGGGCCTTGTCCAGACATTCCTTCTGCCTCCTTTCAGCTGGCTGGTGAAGTCTGTCCACCTCCTCTTCAGGATCCGTTTCTGATCCTTCTCGAGCATCCTCTTGATGGACGGTCGCTGTGTCTGGACAGTTCCTGGTGAGCCGTAAGGCCTTCACAGCCCCGCCAGCTGCTTCCTCAGTTGCCACCTCTCGTAGTGCGTCTTGGAACGAGACATCTTGTTTTGCAAAAATCTTCTGTTGTAAGTCTCTGCTCCTCAAACCGCATACGAAGCGATCTCGCAGCCTCTCTTCCAGATCCTTGAACTGGCTGCTTGCCTTAAGGCCGCAATAAAGTCCACAGCAGATTCACCCAGCCTTTGGTCTCTCTGCTCGAATGCGTGCCTCCAAGCAATAACAAATAACTTTGGCTGGAAGTGTTCCTTCAACATTTTCTTCAAGTCAGCATATGTCACTGACTCCAGAGGTGCAGGGCCCACCAGATTCTCTGCAATGTCAAGAACTTCCTGTCCACAGGCACATAAAAGAGTTGCAGCCTTCAGGCCATCTTCTCTAATCTGATTTACTCTGAAGTAATTCTCTACCCGTGCTATGTAGGAATTCCATCTCTCTGGGTGTGAGACATCGAAATCAGACAAGCGACCAATCTTTGACATCACACAGTTTATGACCTTCACCACTCGCTCCTTTGCAAACTGCTGTTTGGGAAAAAGGTCCTTTAGCCGAGCTCACCCTCCAGCGACGCTATAGTGGCAGGCTGGGATGCTGATTCAGACGCCGTCTTCCCCTTTTCAGGATTTCCTGGGTAAGTTGTTAAATCTTTTCTGTCAGCTTGCAAAGGATCTCATCCTCGTCGCCAGTGTTGCGTACTTTGTTCGTGTGTGAATGATGAAGATACATGGCGATGCTGAACAACTCTTTATTCTCCTTCTAACAACAACCAAGCGAATGCAAAAGGCTCGCAGGCCTTCTTATATGGCCAGAAACCTGGACAGTGACAACCAATAGGAACAGAGTGTTTTCGTGCCTTGCGCATGCGCACAAGGCCGGCACCACTCTGTCTGGTCCTGGGCAGCTTTTGGAATGCCTGGGACCAATGCAACATCCCGAGCCTGCTTTTGCAGGCTCAGGACACAATATATATGATACCCTTCCTCTTTTCCCCACATCTCTGTCAAGTGAGTTGGGCTGAGAAAGAGTGACTGGCCCAAAGACATCCAGCATCTTTCATGCCTAAAGCGGGACTAGAATTCACAGTCTCCTGGCTTCTTACCTAGTGTGTTTTAATCACTAGACCAAACTGGTTCTCTTTAAGCTAGGATTGTTACACCAAAGCCAGTACTGTATGTTATTAATTTGCATATTTGACTGTTCTATGGAATTCCTGCTCTCATAAGGTTTGATGGTAGAGATTTATTTATGTACTAATATAGTATATAGCAATAAAGGTGGAGGAATTTACAAGAATAACTGGGACAGCGTCTTTCGTCATATGTAGATATTTAAGCCAAGCATGGCAGAATTGTAGAAAATTGGAACAAAGAACTTCCAAAGGATACCACAATCAACCCAGTAGCAACAAAAGTAACTTTCAAACCAGAAAATAGCAAATAATGGGTGTTCTTTACCTGTTAGAAGAAGAGAAGAAAATGCTGGCCTCTAGCCAATGGCTAGAAAGATAATGGCCGGAACATATTGCCTGAAGATGAGTCAGGAGTCAGTATTGCTCTGACGTCAGCTGTTTCCAGGCGGGGAAAAATTGTGCAGGCTGCAGGGCAGAAGGTACAATTGTTCCCTCAGGCATGGCTAAATTTCATAAGAGCCACTCAAAGGGGAGCAGCAGCCTGCAGTTGGATAGGAAACTCCTCTCTCTGTGTGACATTTGGGTTTCTTCTTTGGAATAAAACAATCAAAAGGCAGATCTTGCCCCATCCAGACACCCACATAATATTAGATGGACAAAAGGTGCCAGAAAGGATATTATGGGACAGATTTTTTTTCCTTTTCTTTCTCAAAACCTCCATCACATTTAGAACCAGTACAGCAGGTTTTCTCATTCTTGGCAACTTTGAGATATATAGACTTCAACTGTCAGAATTCCCAGCCACAAAGTTGCCAAGGTTGAGAAACACTTCTTTACAGATTATCTGGAAAAGAAGGAACAAATTTCAGAAGATATTGTGTGGGATTTCTGACTTTCTAAGGACCACCAATCTTGTTTTGAATCTGACCAGTTAATATGATTTACCAGCGAGGTTTCCACAGGGACTAAGCATCAGAAATGTTGAGAAAGAGTTTTCTACTTCCTCCAGCACTATGATTGCTTACCTTTCTCTTAAGAAAAACAAGCACATCTTGACCTTTAAAATTGTTCCCTGTATTTTATTAGTGTAATGGTTTTGGAATAGTTTCACTCTGTGATTTGATATATATATATATATATATATATATATATACATATATATATATATATATATATATATATATATATATATATATATATATATATATGTTTAAAATAAAATGAGCACCAAGGTTTTATATATATATATATATATATATATATATATATATATATATATATATATATATATATATATATATATATATAGGTTTTCGCGGGTATTTGTATGTAGGTCTTTGGTTGTTCGGGTTTTCTCCGCGTAAAATTGGAAGTGTCTTGGTGACGTTTCGACGAAGTCCCATTCGTCATCTTCAGGCTGGTGTTTTCAGCTTCGTGCTTTGAGCAGCACGGGAGAAAAAACCCAAACAACCAAAGACCTACATATATATATATATATATATATATATATATATATATATATATATATATATATATATGTGGGTCTTTGGTTATTCGGGTTTTCTCCCACGTAAAATTGGAAGTGTCTTGGCGACATTTCGACGAAGTCCCATTCGTCATCTTCAGGCTGGTGTTTTCAGATTCGTGCTTCGAGCAGCTGCTTTGCTGCTCGAAGCACGAAGCTGAAAACACCAGCCTGAAGATGACGAATGGGACTTCATCGAAACGTCGCCAAGACACTTCCAATTTTACGTGGGAGAAAACCCGAATAACCAAAGACCTACATACAAACACCGCGAAAACCTCAGAAAAATATATATATATATATATATATATATATATATATATATATATATATATATATATATATATACATATATATATTGTTACTAAGTGATTTATTAGTGTAGGAGGGAAAAAAGTGATCTGTTCAGAATATTCCTTATATGGCAGTCTGTAAGTATTACAAATTAAAAGGCTGGACATCAACTTACTTAAGACCATAAAGCAAACTGTGTAGCAAAATGAGAATCCTTCACATCTGCCACTGCTTCAGCCTGCTTTCTGAAATAGTGTCACATGTCTGACCTTCTCATCTACTTTTTCTTGCAAGAATTATGCTGTGGTGAAAATTTCTGTGTATTCATATCTGCTTCATTTCTTAAACTTTTAGTTAAATTGTGATTCATTTCTAAACTTCCCAGTTGCCACACTTTCTCATTCTCTTTTACTAAGTTATTCCTGGTTTTCTTGGCAGCAATTAATCCAAGATTTGCGATGACAACCAAAGACCCGATGGATTCCTATACCAGCAATATAAATATAGATGCAAATACAGATGTAATCGTAGATGTGGAACACGGTACCTTGTTTTCCCTTTTTTATACTGCTGAAATAGTTCCTTGTTTGCTCAATTGGTCTAATTCCCATAAGGACCTTACTTGACTGCATGAAATAAATAAAACCACAGACTAAAACAACATTTTGGAACCATTCAGAGAAGTATTGTTCCAAACATTTTCTGGAGGGAAGCCATTGATGTAAAATTACTAACAATGATCAGAGTTAGACTCATCACTTTAGGGTGACTTCTCTCCTATCTTTGTGGGTAGTTCCAACTGGGGCAATAGAAAGGAAGCTCACTGCTACTAGTAGGTGCCAGAGAACTCAGAATTCTCCCCCTGCTTTACAGAACTCTCCCCTTGTTGCACTGACACTACAGTAGTAGTGGCTTCTGGTCCAATTAAAAGTGCTGGTTATTACTTTTTAAACTGTACCGAAATATAACACAGGGATATATCAGGCAACATCTTGTCAATCTTGAATCTGCCTGTCTGGTTCTTACATCAAGAGAGGGTTATTGAGAATTCTCTTCCTCAAGAAGTGACATGAACCATGAGACAGGTGGCACCTTCTTAATAGAGGCCTGCATTTTTTAATCTTTTCCTGAAGTTATATATGATTCCTATCACTCTTATATTTCATAAGCAAGAAAAATCAATCCCTCTTCAACAAACCTCTGGCCCTGGTTGACTGTGGGTATCTACCATAGGAACTTTGCTAAATTAATGATTACATTGTCTTGATGTTTTCATTTCTTTCATTTTTATTCTATTATCAGTGGTTCATTCTCCAGAGTCCTTCCAGATTGGAGCAGCTATAAGCCTTGTTAAATAAACAAAATTCTTTTGAGGGAATTACATTGTTTCAGCAAAGATGGGGTGGGAACTTTTGATCATGTTCACACTTGCTTAATTACTGAAATGTTAATTAAGTGATACATTCCTAATTGTCTCACAGTTTTTCACTCTCTTTTGTTAAATTCTTCCTCCTTGTTTCCTTGGCAGCAACTAATCCACAATTTGCTGTGGCAACGAAGACCCTGACGGATTCCAATACCAGTGATGCAGACCCAGATGCATTCATAGACCCAGATGTAGTTATAGACCCAGATGCAGTCATAGATGTAGAACATGGTATCTTGTTGTCTTTTCCTTACATTGCTGAAATAGTTCCTAATTTGCTTAGTTGGTCTCACTCCAACAAAGATCCTACTGAAACCCTTAACTGCATAAAATGGTTAAGACCACAGACTAAAACAATATTTCTGAGCCCTCAGGGAATTATTATTCTCAAGCATTTTGGAGGGAAGCCATACAAGTATAACTAACTGTTATAGCTTTATTTGCAGGTAATATAATATGATGTGATTGCAAGTACTAACGAATCAGTGACCTCGTTTGGAGCCAAAAAGAGAACTTCTTTAAATTCCCAGTATAGAAATGTTCCTCCAGCTTTATTTTATTCTAGATTTTTAGAATGCTTATGATAAATATGGATATAATGTATTTTCTAGCCCATAAGGATATAAGAATGATTAAGAAATTTTGACATGAAGTTGATCACTAAATATCTGCAAATTCAGGCAAAAAATATCCAGATTAGTAAAGAAAAACATTTGTATATTTCTGTTTCATATAAAAAAGGTATCTAGGCCCCAAGGGAATTTTACATCTTTCAAAAAGCCAAACATTTTGATTAATGAACTGCCCTTATAAAATCAATCAATGAATTGTTTTTCAACTTTAAGTAAAGTTGGAGAATATGGAGTGACCTAATTATCCAGCATTATTCAAGACTGATTAAAACTGCATTCCAATATCTACTTACTAGTGGTTAAACCCATAGGGCTTACTTATAAGGAGACATTATATTAGTATATGCTCTAATTAATATTTGCATATTATACAAAGCTCTGATTTTCTATATAGACATGAATCTGTATTGCTCTTATAGTAGTTTAGATTGTTATCCACCACCATCGTGGTAAAAGTAACATTTTCTTCTCTCTCTCTTTTCCCTACAACAAATCTGTGAGATAGGCTGGATAGTGAAAGGTCCAAAGTCACTCAGAAAGATTCTGTGGCTAAATATAAATTTGAATCTGAGTAGATTTGAATCTAGGTTCCCCAGCACTGTCCAACATCTGAATTATTGGCTTTTAGATCACTAATATTAAAGATACAACATATATGCCAAGGAAAAATAGATTAACCTAAATGTAACCTCATCTTTTGCATATTGTACTCCACAATTATTCATCTGTTTCCTTACCTTTCCAGGTTTTTACCCAGGGACTCCCAAAAGTCCTTTTCCTATTACAAATTCTTCAGAGATTCTGGATATTTTGGAGACCACTGTAGTGAGCACTACAATGACCACAATTATGGGCAGCTCCCAGCCTGTCATTCGAAGTGGGACAGCTGATAACCTCATCCCTGTCTACTGCTCCATTTTGGCAGCTGTGGTTGTGGGTCTGGTGGCATATATTGCCTTCAAGAGGTAAGTAGTCAGAGACAGTCTGGAAGACAAGTGTGCAGGAGGAGTGTTGTGATATATGAACAGTGACAGGTGGTGCCTAAGGTTGATCTCGCTCACTGACTAGATATCCTTCAGTTGTTCGAACTATTTCTTGTACCTGTTCTAAGGATGTAATTTTGGCTGACTGTGGTAAAACATAGTCATGATTGAGCACATTTTGCAGTTAAAACTATAAATCCCAGCATTACCAGTGGTAATATGATGGTTTGCATGCAATTCTCATTTTCCTTTCAAGGAAATAGTGTGTAAAAATAGCCATATCATTGACTATGCTTGAACAGTCTTCTAGGGCCTAAATACTGTTGCATTCCTTCAACCCCTTTGCAAGCAGGGGAGACTAAGAGGGAAAGTAGAAAAAGGTAGCAGCTGAAAAGGAAGCCGCTTCATGAGTATACGCTTACAACACATGCGCAACATTTTTCATGCTGTACGCAGACCATATTTGACTTTTAAATGTAATTCCTGGAACACTCTCAAGAAAGTAAATGGGGATAGGATGCAAATTAATTTGATTTATTTTCATATGATGATTATTCTTATTTTAATAATTTCTAATAAGCATCTTTTGGTGGAGCTCAGGGGCCATGTCTCTGGCATGCAACAGAGAAGAATGGAACCATTCTCTGCTCCCATCCCTCTTTTACCATATTTCACACCCTTCCCTTAAGTGATAGGCATCTTTATAAAGCCAAATAGATGTACTTCAATAATTTCAGAGCTGGCCATAAGCAATTCTTGAGTGACAAGGATGAGCATCCTGTGGAAACAATTGTTCAGGATTGAAATTTCTAAGTTGCTGTTATTAGAAATTAGATCCTTCTTAATGCCAATCCAGGAACATCTTGTCTCTAAGATTACCAACTTTTAAGTGACCATAAAAGAATGGGAAGATGATAATGATTGTATCCATGCTATGAATGATTATTTCTGGCTGATTGCAATAGCTCAAGTGGTTGATAAAGGCATAGAAGCATTATAGACATTACTCTCTCTTTTTTTGCAAGAATGCTGCTGGTTTCTGTAATAAGATAAAATCCATTATCTTATATTTCAAGCTTTATAAAATAAGCTCACTAAATATAAAATATTCTGCTTTTAGAAAGCAAGTTGTCTTGGGTTAAATTGGAAAGCATTTCTTAATGTGTAACCCAAAGATCCCATGTTCCTGCCACTTCTCCTTTCCATTGATGCCTACTGTACTTCCTTCGCAAAGAATAAGAGTTGAAAGTAATAAGAAACATATGATTGCTTTACCTTGTAATCAGCAACATATGGACTGGGCCTAGGAAAAGATTAAGAAAAAGCAAATAGGAAATAAGAAAGTAGATCAGTTGTGAATCCAAGTCCATCCTTTCTCCCATCCTCCACTTCAAATACCTTGAATCATCAATGTTAGATGACATCATTACTATATGCGTACATATTCTTGAATCTCTTTATCTCTTTAGGAGCTCATTGACCCAATTCCAAGCTCTTATAAAAATGGCTTCTTGCTCTCCTGGGTACCCTAGTTGTGCTCAGCTCTTACTTAGCAAGCATCTTAGTATTGATGGGTCCTCCAGATTTTGATGGGCTCCAAATCCCATGGTTCCTTACCACTTGTCATATTTGTCAGGGCAGATGATGATGATGATGATGATGATGAAGAAGAAGAAGTTGGAAGAGACCTTGGAGGTCTTTGGGTCCAACCCCCTGCTCAGGCAGGAAACCCTATACCATTTCAGAACAAATGGCTGTCCAGTCTCTTCTTAAAAACTTCCAGTGTTGGAGCATTCACAACTTGTGGAGGCAGGTTGTTCCACTGATTAATTGTTCTAACTGTTAGGAAATTTCTCCTTAGTTCTAGGTTGGTTGTCTCCTTGGTTAATTTCCATTCATTGCTTCTTGTCCTGCCTTCAGGCGCCTTGGAGAATAGCTTTACTCCCTCTTCTTTGTGGCAGCCCCTGAGATATTGGAACACTGCTATCTTGTCCCTCCTCATCCTTCTCTTCATTAAACTAGACATACCCAATTCCAGCAACTGTTCCTTATATGTTTTAGCCTCCAGTCCCCTAATCATCTTTGTTGTTCTTCTCTGTACTCTTTCTAGAGTCTCAACATCTTTTTTACATTGTGGCGACCAAAACAGGATGCAGTATTCCAAGTGTGGCCTTACCAAGACATTGTAAAGTGGTATTAATATTTCTTGATTCTATTCCTCTGTTAATGCAGCATAGCACTGTGTTGGCTTTTTTGCCAGCTGCAGCACTCTGCTGACTCATATTTGATTGTCTACTAGGACCACTAGGTTTAGTAATGCCTCACATCTGCCCCATTTTAAGCATAACCCTATGAATTCACATTCAGTGTTGGCAATTGAAGTGACTTTCAGGAGCTAATATAAATGAAAACACCCTTATCTGGATTGGCAACTAATCCGTTAGAGTGAAAGTTCTGTCTGGGCACACTCCAAACTTCATGATGTGTAGAAAGGAATTAATTCTTAGTGACCCTGCTAATTTTATAGTTTACCCCATGGGTCAGAAGAAAGAATAGGTATCCTTCACTCAACTGTCAAACATTTTCACCTCTAGGTGGAACAGCTGCAAACAGAACAAACAAGGTGCTAACAACCGTCCTGTCAACCAGACGCCTTCCCCAGAAGGAGAGAAACTTCATAGTGACAGTGGCATCTCAGTTGACAGCCAAAGCCTCCACGATCAACAACCACCAACACAAACAGCATCTCTACAAGGCAAGAGGAGGGGTCAAGTTGAAGCTGGGAGGGGAAGAAACCAAAGAGCAGGAATGCGATTCAGAAAGAAAGGAAACCACTGATTATCAAAAGATACTGTAGCCCTGGCAGACACCAAGAGGACAGTTAATCCAAGAACCATCTACTTTCTAGATCACATCCCTCTGGTTACTTGTCCTGTGAACAAACCAATCCCAACTATAGTTTGCCCCAGGCAGATAGCAAGCATATACAAGTTTTTATTGATGCCAACTATAACTAACAAATCAAGTAAAATTACAATGGGGAAATAAGCAAGGTAGGGCAAATGGCTTTATTCCTCTGCTTTCAAGTTTCACATTTTTTTCCCAAAAATATCAGATTTAGTGTTTTTTCATTTCATTGTTTTGGAGGGGGGCACGTATGTCAAGTTAAATTTATTACTCTGGAAATTTTAATTTTTAGTTTGTAGTAAAATTTGTGTGCTTTGTGGTGCACATTGCTCTAAACGTTTTTTGTTATCTATTTTACTTATATACACAGGTTTTACAAATAATTAACTAGTATGGTAGATAATTAGTAATATAATATCATTTTGTATATAATTCATGAATATATGTATTTGTGGTTAGACTTTTCTCTAACATATATCTCTTTCAATTGTAGTTTTCAGAGATTTGAAAATTTGGGGTATCTCATTTTTGATCTATATTTTGTTTTAAAAGTACAAAATCTGATCAAGTTGCTTTCAAAGATAAAGCTAAACACACTTGTCACCCTTTCTTGGAAAGAAAGCTGGTCTTCTTGCTACTTTATAGATATTAATATTAATTAAAAGTGTGGAAAATTATTAGTTTCCCAAGAAATACTGTAGGACAGTGTTTGCTTGATGATGAACTTAGACTCAGTTTTCAGTCCCAGGACATAGTTTGAAAAAATCCATTGTTGTTTTTTTAGTGCTTTCAAGTCAGTGTTGACTCCTGGCAACTGCTGGGACAAGTTCCTGCCGTCTTTTTGGAAAGGTTTTTTAGAGGTTTGCCCAGTGGTGGGATTCAGCCAGTTCGTACCAATTCGGCAGAACCGGTAGCTAATTTTTTGTTGCCCAGATTCAGAATGGAGCAGCATTCACACAGAGAACCAGTTGTTCATATATTTGAATCCCACCACTGGGTTTGCCACTGGTTCCTTCCTAGGACTGAGAAAGAGTGACTGACTCCAGGTCACCCAACTGGCTTTGTGCCTAAGGCAGGACTAGAACTCATGGTCTCCCAGGTTCTGACCTAATTCCTTAACCACTATACCAAACTGAGTCTCTTGCCCATATTCTATCATGTTTCAAAATATTTATACTAGTAGTTTAAGTCCAGATGAAATACAAATAGTTGCAGAATAGAAACAACAGCTATCAAAACTGCACTTCTTTTGTTTCCTACACTAAAAGTCAAGATAATTTTCATTCCAGATGAATGAATTTCTGTGCAGTTGGCATGAAAACTAGTTTGCTTCTATTAGGCAAATAGGTATGGTCACTAAAACCATATTTTGCCTAGTAATTGGGAGACATTTTTATACCTAAGGACATAAAACTAAATTATTCTTGTAAAAATTATGTCAACTCTCATTCTACTTCCTCTATACTTCATCATAAATGGATTATTTTGGGATAAAAACTTGGAATTTTTTAAAAAGATAAACTCAAGGGTTTTACAGCCAGTATCATGATTAGGGGCATAAACCATTCACATCATACTTTTTTAAAAACCTCACAGTTTAGGAAAAATAAAGCATGCAGCAGAAGCTCTGGTGATGTAGTGGTTAGAATGCAGTACTGCAGGCAAACTCTGCCTATAGCCTGGGGTTCGATTCTGACTGGCTCAAGGTTGACTCAGCCTTCCATCCTTCCAAGATCTGTAAAACAAAGACCCAGACTGTTGGGGGTAACAAAAACTGCATGGAGACCTGAACTTAACTGGGCTTAAACGGCCTTTCAAAATTCTCCAACATACTCATGAGTGGAGGAACTTGGTAGATCATTTCTTTGAGTTTCTCTAAGTCAGTGTTTCTCAACCTTGACAATTTTAAGGCATGTGGACTTCAATTCCCAGAATTCCACAGCCAGCATTGCTGGATGTGGAATTCTGGGAGTTGAAGTCCACATGCCTTAAAATTGTCAAGGTTGAGAAACACTGCTCTAAGTGAACTCTCCTGCAAAGGATAGGATTCCCATTCTGTGAAGACAAGAACATCACTCTTGAAAAAGCCACATGAAAAGAACTTTGGCCTGAGCTTTATACTTGGTTTGAGGTATGAGAAGCCAAAGAGGCTGGAGAAATGCATTTAAACCCAGCCCTCAGTCACTTCTTAGCTAAGAAGCTCAAGAACACCACAATCTTTTGTTCTTTGAACTTCCCTGGGCCTGATTCTGGGTTTTCACAGGCAGTCGTGTCTTCTTTTTCTGCTCTCCACATGTTCAGCTGGGAGGCCTGAAGATAAGTTAAACAAGGATTATTTTAAATGTCATAGCTCTCCATGCCATCCGGAGTCCCAGAACACACAGCAAGCTGCATTATATTCCACAGAAGGCTGTCTGTCAGGCTAAATGGCTGGAGCTTAGAAAGAGCTGTATGATAAGGGTGAATGAGTAGTTTTGTCCTTTATCATTTGCAAGCCCACTTGTGCTCAGATGATTATCTCTCAGAATTTGGATCCACCATTCTTTCTTTCTACAAATACATTGGGGTTGAACCAAATGGGAAATCCTGGAACTAAACTGAAGATTTATACATTTTTTTAATTTGAGAGATGTTCAGAATACAGTGGTTACAACACTAATTGTAATACAGGCAAAGAAAAAACATCAAAATATTAAAAGTGGCTTGAATATTGATGTCTGTGTGAAAATAATGGTGGATATAAACTTATCTGGTTTATTTAGAACAATTCATATTCTGCCTTGCCCAGTGATGTTCATGAAATTATCAAGAAAAACCTCCATCCAAATCTTGAATATGGTTTACCCTTGAAAGTATATTGATTTGTTTATATTTCTTATAAAACACAGAATAAAACTTCAATAATTCCATATTTTTCAGAATGTTCTAATGCTATTTTAAAAATACATTACAATATATGCTAAAAAGAATATATCATCAAAGGAATTTTACATGAAATGCAAATAAATGTAATATTTTACTATGAAATGCATCTACAATAGATTGTGCCAATCTTTTATTATTATTTTTTGTCAGTTAATATAGAAATAGGATGGAATAAATTCACATGAAACTGACTTGAACCAAAAAGACTCTGAGCCAAATGCTGGGTCTCCCACAGTAAAAGACTATCTATGGCTCCCACAATAATATCTGATCGTTTCCCCTTTCCCTTCTGGGCTTTTCCCCAGGAGCATGCACAATTGCTGAGGACTGTTGTACTGTATAAGCCAGGGATGTCAAACTGCCAGCCCGCAGGCCGTTACATCATACGGAGACCACACCCACCCCAACTCCGGCAATGTAAAAAACACCGCAATACGTCGCCACATGTCACGTGATGTGGCGAGTTTGACACCTATGGTATAAGCTATTCATTTTCATTTGTCATATTGTTTTGGGGCATTGTGGGGAATCTAAAATGGCTTCCAGCCATCTATTTCTCACTAAAACCCACTTTGGGAACATGGAACAGGTGAGTGTCTCACATGCAGCTATAATTGTTTTTTTAACCTTTCTCTATCCCAAACTCATTTCTCAATTTCAGGTCTTAAAGGAGATGGGAATCTTTACACCAGCCTGCCCCCTAACAAACGTGAGGAGGTTGAAAAGCTGTTGAATGGTTCCACAGAGGAGACATGGCGCCACCTGGCTGGAGAACTAGGCTACAAGGAAGATCACATAGACTCCTTTACACAAGAGGAGTACCCTGTTCGTGCTCTGCTCTCTGATTGGTCCAGCAAGGACAGTTCCACCATGGATGCCCTTTATTCAGCCTTGCGCAAAATCCAAAGGGGAGACATTGTGGAAAGCCTTTACAGTGAATCCACTGCTAGCTCACCAGTGTGAAGGAGAGAGAAGGGGCAGCAGCATTCTGAGTTAGCTTCTCACTTCCCCTACCCTAGTGGTGCCTCTTGGAAGAAGAATATGTGAAGGAAAAATAGAGCTCATTCTTTCTGGGGTCACTGGAACAATCCTGTAAACACTGATTTAGTTATATTTTCCTCTCTACCCTACTGTCCTAGTATTTTCATCCAATAGCTCTTGCTAGTAACAGACAATAAGATGATAAAAGGAAATGGAAGGAGTGGATGTCTTGTTTATACTGTATGTGCTCCTTAAAATCTCCTGGATTGATAGTGGGCTGCTGAACTGAGGCAAGAATGAAGAAAGACTTCCAGTGGTTGGATTCAGCTCATTCGCACCACTTTGGCAGAATCAGTAGCTAATTTTTTGTTGCCCAGGCCCAGAATGGACTTCCGGAAGCAGCATCCACACAGAGAACCAGTTGTTCACATATTTGAATCTCACCACTGAAGACATCAGTCCAAATCAATTGCTTGACTTCTCTTTCAGATGCCTCTGACATTTATCCTATGCGCTTCTCTCACAATCCCATCAACATTAGTTCTCTTTCTGCTCTTGCACATCAGTCACCAGTTTACCCTATTTAAGCACATCTGAAATCAGGAAAAAAAACAAGGAGACCAGCCAGATATGTTACAGAGTGATGAAGGATTCAAAGAAGGCAGAAAGAGTAGGAATGTTGGGCCTGAAACAAAGAGACATATGGTGTTTAGAGGACAAAGTGAACATTTGTTTTGAGGCAACCTCCTGGAGGGTCTCTTGAGTGGGGAGAAGAGAAATGTGGACCAGGTTTATAGTTATCAAAACTGACAACATGAAAATCAAAGAGAGAAGTTAAGGGATGGAACCCAAAGAGAAAAATAACCACATTTCTATCCAAGTATTGGTGACCACATCAAGACTATATTTGATCCTGCCCTTGTTTTCTTGCTCAGATGCATTCTTCTCTTGCTCAGTAAGAATTTTTTTTAAACCTCTTCTATTTTTCTCTTTCTGGGTTTGACTGAAACCAATAAAGTCATATAAACCCTTGCTTAAAGGAGCCAGATAAGCCACACTGATGAGTGGACTTAATTAGAAGCAAACAAGGCAAATGGTCTGACTTATTCATTCATTTTCCAAGGGATACTGCTTTGATGATGCCACATGCTCTACATTCTTCTTCAAACTGGTAAACCAATCACTGTGTGTTAAGAAGCTGTTCCCTCTATTGCATTAAAAGGGGAAGCAAGCAAACAAACAAACAAAAAAATCCCTTAGTGGCCTTAATGCACAAAATGGGGAGCAATCTATATGAAAACATAGCTGCTCTCAGAGGTAGAATTTTGCTGAATGTTATTCCTGTGTCAAGTGATGTACAGCCACCAAAGCACCCTACTATTTTCTGTTTTCAAACATTAAAGGGATATGAAAGTACTATGGGGATAGGATGGTGGGGAGGTATTCTACAAGCTAACAAGAATCACCAAAAGCTTTTGGGCAAAAAACAAAACAAAACTGGAACTGAACAATTTCTTCCCTCTGTATATGTATTACAAGATTCATGTTGGTTTCTTTTATTCTTATTCTGATGATATTCAGATAGACCTGATTAAAAAAAATGGTGGCATTTGAAAGCTCATAGGGTTTTAAACAGTTGACTGGGCTGTTCATGGGGATTGTTTAGCTGCTCGTCTTGTTTCTCTGAATTAAAACTGTGGAGAAGAAATCTCTCCATCATATGTATGCACGCACACGTATATATAAATATATACTTAGAAAGTAATGGGAATACTTCCTGGGGAATGTTAGTTAGGAATGCTAATTAATTTCCTTTCTCAACCAAGAGATGATTAGGGAAGCTTGGCAGTCTGCACAAAGTGTTGCTATTCTGATCACTTTTCTGTCATCATACTAGTTTTAATGGTTTGCCTCACCAGAAAACTTCTATTTTAACCTTGACATTTTAGCTGTCAACAAAACTTAGTAGCAATTTTAAATAGGATGCTACAAACAGATTGAGGAAAGTTAATTACATTTTTGCTTTCTATTTAAAAACTTTTTACAGAACAACTAGAATCATATCTTGTTTATGGGATGTTGCCATCACATCACATAACAATAATCATAAAAAAGAAGCCAGAGGGAGAGCTAGTAACATATCCAATGGACTCCTAAATTGTTTTAGAAAGAAAACATGGAGGTGGGTGGAGGTACCTATGGCCTTCCTGATTTTGAGCCTAGTTTAACATTGGCCCACCTAGTTTAACATTCTTTGATCTGGTAAAAACCTTCATATATACAGACAAAAGCCTTTTCATATCTGTTCTGAAATCTAACTTCCCTTTTTAATACTATGAAGGGCAAATAACTTGGACACACAAAGTAGGCACTTTACCTCAGAAATCCAATTCCACAATCTAGTTCAGCCTCCTTTTGGTAGATCACTCTAATGGCCCTTTTCTTGTAGAGATATGTGCCTTGTTGTGCATTGACTATCCCAAAAGAAACAAATAGCGTGCCAAATCTTTTTTACTTTTCTTGAACATGCAAGGCTATTAAACAGTTCTGCCTTTTAAGATCTACTGCATTAAGCCTGCCTTTTTTTTTCTTTTGGAACTACCAAATCTCCACAGATTAAGAGATACAGGCAAGATAGAAACCCCACTTGGGGTTCAGTTGGTTTCAGATTTTAGCAAACAGATTTTATCTTAGCAGGTAAATTTTGGCACGTGACACAATATACAGTCTGAATTTGGAGCTTAGTCTCTATCCTCTGCAAAAAAAAGAGAAAGCCCTTCTTCTATATGCTATTCTTTATTATTCTGAAGACACAGTAAGAACAAGACAACCAATAAATATAAGAGCGAATGATTAGTATTCTTGAATAATAAAACTATGAGGTATAAATATATCATATTATAACTGTATTATGCAACAGTTACATCTCTTCCTAAAATCATGTTTCAGCTGCATGATCTTAGGAAAAATGGGACTGTTTTAAAATGTTGCATAGACATCCTATGTTTGTCCTTCAAAACTTCCTTTTGTAATGAAATCAGAAATGTGGTACAGTTATATTGATTATCATAGCTGTGTGATTGATTGGTGCTGTTAATACTTGCATTTGAAGATCCCTCCTCATAAATGACTAATAAGGACACAATGTCAGAGATCAACAGTGCCTTTGGAATACAACTTTTTCTTTTGTTTAATCCAGGAAGTTAAAGGATGTTGAGTTCTTATGCTAACAACCCATAAAAAGAGATGGAAATATGAAAGGATAGGGCAAGGAAATGTAGAGCCTCCTTAGTTGAAATTTGGCCTATTTTACCTGGAATGAATTATCCTGAATAGAGTGTATCTTTATATCAGAGCCATGCTTAGTTGTAAAGGTATGTGTGTAGAAGAGGATATGTAAACCAGGAAAATGACACTTTATTATAAATCACTGTTGGCATACGTCTCCATTTTATTCACTAAATTGAACTGCAGTTGGGCACAGTAAACCTGTGGCTTTCCTTTATATGTTCAAATATCAGAATATTCCAAAAGCCCAATAGCTCCTGCTAGTCTCCTCATAAAGGATTGAAGGAGAATAATTGGTTATTTTCTCAGGGCTACTTAAAATGTGTATGAGAGAGAGTGTGTGTGTGTGTATATACCTAAACACAAACACACACACAAATACACACCTAGGCTGGTATAGAATCCGTGTTACTTAGGGAAGGGATTTGGGTTTTCAGATTTGGTGGATACAGGAAATCCCCTCCCTCCATTCCATTGGAAAAAGGAAGTTTCCAATGTTGAATTTCTTACCTGAAAATTATAACTCTTTCTCCAATCTTTGTTGAATGACCATTTGTAGTTCAAACCACTTTGCTTCTTCATTTATTTATGTGGGGTTTTTATATCTTATCCCAAGATCCTGAATAAATATTTCTCTTGACAGAAGCATTGGGTTGGTTAGTAGATTTCACTAAAATGAATTAAGTCTTAGTCTCTTCACTTCTAAGTTGGCAAGAATGGGGTAACTTAAAAGAGATTTTGGGCAGAAAATGGACACATATGTGTGACTAAATGATTTTTCAACAGCTGCATGGCCAGCTGTACATATGTACTGTGCAAATATGAACAGACATAATTGTGCCTACGACCTTATGTATGTATTCCAAAAATCAGATGAGGAAAGGATACACTATGTTAAGTGTTCAGTTGGCTTGGTTTTTTTTTCCCTAGATGCAATTCTTGCATTTAAAGAGGTTTGGATTTCTTTGCCCTCATTCTTCCCTATTCCCTGAACCAAATTGACATCACAAAATATCCCCTAAATTTTGTAGCTCTACCAAGTTTACTTTGCAATCAAAAAAGACAAACTGAATAGATTTAGATAAACATATCTAATGGGCCTACAGCTGTTCCAGACATTTCAGTACAGACACAGATGTTAGCTTTTAATGATAAATGTTCAGGAGTCCATAGCTTATGTTAAACTGCTATATGTGTTTGAGTTCATTTCAACTAATTGATGAATTATGATTAGCAGTTCGTGATTAGCTAAGACTGCTATATGGCTAGCTACTAACAAACCACTTTGAAGGGTAGCACCTTTGTAGAATTATCATTCAACAAAATCATGCAGTTTTATGTGTTGTATCCATCTTCTTTTTCACAGTATGCATGGGCTATTTATATATGGGTGGTCTCCCATTCAATTGCTGCTTGGATCCAAACCTGTTTACCTTTAGTTGAAGCAAGAGTACTTTCATAAACATGTATTATAGCTCTAGTAGAACATGTTTCTTCAGCTGCACACTATAAAAAAGTGGAACTGTAATTGACTTTCCATACCATTAAGGGACATTATGACTTTTCCATGCATTCATCCCATTGTATTATTTCATGCCTAAGTCCTTAGCACTACTCTTTTATCTTTCTTAAAAGATGTAGCTTTAACATAGTCAGGGACTTAAAGCAGCTAAACCTAACCTAGACAACCATTTAACAACAAGTTATTTTGTAATATGGTTCTATTTTTAAATTATCTTTTAAATAGGATCACAATATCTTCACAGCTTTAACTCTGTTACAGTAAAACACTGTGTATGTGAACTTTCTGAAGAGTTCTATTCCTTTGATGTCGCAATGCAATATGTTTCCAGATATAACCATTTTAACAAGTAGTCAATAATAAGGACTGGAATAATGTTTTTTAGAAGTTGTTAGTGTAGCTTAATTTTAATGTAATACTTAAGCATTAGAGGGCTAATTTAATTGAAAATTGAAAATCTACTATTGGTCGTATTGTTAATCTATGACTGGAAAGAATATTCTTTCATTAGTAACACACTTTCATTTACATAGAATTTTACTTTTATTTTATTTTGGAGTGGAAGAGAGAGACACAGACCCTGTGCCACAGATAAACACAATGTTTTGGTGCTTTTGTTAGAGCAATTAAAAATAGATGGTGATTAAAGGGGTATCTGGTTAAATTGCAAGCATGATGATAAACTATAGAATATTTTGGTCTCCCCAATCTAACATCGTACTTTTATAGAAGCAAAAGAGAAGTACTAAGGGCATCTACACATGAGTGACTTTGTTATTCTTCCTCCACCTCAACAGTCATGGGAAACATCACCTACAAAATTAAAGAGAATTATAAATGACAGATAGTATTGTGTAGATACCATAACATTGGAGTAAATATATCATTGTTACTGTACAATAAACCCTTATTGGAGAATAGACTTGGCAGTTCCAGACTGTGATCCAAGTACCAGATTGGAAGTAATGCCCTAAAACAAGATTATGTTGTTTGAAGCTCCAGATTAGAAGGCAAATGGCTTGATTGCATGTATTGACCTAGGCTCAAATTTCCCAACTCAGATCAGTCTGAGAAACAGAAGGACATCCAGTGCTTAGGATAAAGAGTCAAGATCCTCTAAAACTTGTCACCCAACTGAAATGTTTAATAAGGGGCAAAATGTGAAATGCTCTGAGAATAACTATATTTATTTAATTCAATCAGCACACATTTTTGTCTTGGGCCCATTTATTTGTTTATCTGTCTGACCTGCCCACTTTTTGAAAACTGCTCTATCATCCTTTAAAGATTAAATGTGGTCCTCAGCTTGAAAAGGGTCACACTTCCCTATTGTAAGTTGTCTTTTGTCATTTCTTCCTGAGCCTAAATGAATACACTGACACTGCACATCTACAGTAGTCTTAAATAGTGCATTAACCAGTTTTTTATGTTTCACACAGAACCATGAATTATATGGGCTGGATCATACAACAGCCTCAGCTCCGAAGAACAAATTAAGGTTATTACCAACCAGGCTTAAGAGTTTATACAAAAGTAGTCACTAAGTCTTCAGCTGGTGAAGCAAAATTGTCTGAACACAGCCATTTTGGAAGTGATGATTTACTCATTAGAAAGAGAAGGTGCTTAATACATACAAGAAAGTCCTAGCCTCCATTAGAACATAAATGCTTTGAAACTTTTTATGTCACAAGCACATAAAAAGATCAGCACTTCAGTCAAGCTGTTGTGACTGTTAACAGTGATTTTCTTGACACCCCCCACTCCTCAAATGTCCCTCCATAACTTTTGGCATTTTTCCCTCTACTATTTACCTAGAAACCACCTAAAAATAACACACACAATGCCAACAGGTCAAAGAGTGGATGAACCAACTTTCTGACTCCAGAAGAACAAATGATGTTAAGCACCAACTTATTTGAATCCATTTCTGTCTAAACTTCAAGCCTCCCCTGCCGAAGACAATCTAAACGGTAAGTAACAGACATTGACAGAAGCAGCCCGCACCAGGATGGGGAGCAGCTGCCCAGATGTTCCTTATTTTAAAGTCGAGTTTTGTTTTACATGTTGTTTATGTGCTAAGGGATACCCAAGGTTGTTTGATTCTGTGTTATTTTCTTGTTCAACCTTTTGTAAGCAGATCTGAAAGTGGAAATCTTTCATAATCTCAACATGGAAAGAGGATTATGTGGTTATTCTCAGGAGATGGGAAAGGCCCTTTTTATAGGCACAGGAGCACAAGCTCCACTGTGGTCATGGAAAATGTTTTCCTTTCACCTTTAACCAATTGACAAGCTTCAAATCTTCCTATATCCATCTGCCCGCCCTATTTCTAAATAACCAAATTTAGCTCAGCACACTGCTGAGAGATTAAAAATGACAGTAGGAAAATCCTGAGTTCCTTATTGGGAAGTGATTTTATATAAAAGTGATAAAAGAAAGAAAATTGGGTGACACTTAGAAAAAGCAACATTAGTTTTTGAGGGAAACTTTTAAGAACACCTTTTGAATCCTTACACACATGAAACAATGTATAAATGTTTGTTTGTTTGTTTCTATTTTGAGCCTGCCTGGGTCCACAGCAACTCTGGCCAGCTTCAATTAAATAATTTTTTAACATATATTCAAGAAAAAAGAATACAAGTGGGAAAGACTTTGGGAGGCAGGGTGAATAGAAGCTGACTAGGAATGATGAAGTAAGACAGGGCATATCCTTCACTCAAAGAATACCCTTCCTAGATTCTCAGAATGTAAAGTAGATGGTGGGAGATTTGTACTTTCAGACTTGCAAGATTCTATTAATGTAGCTTTACAATAAAGTAGAATTAACTCATCTGTTATGTTCTCTGTCTATTCTATCTGGTAAGACTGACAACTGATGTTCAGAAGACAGTAACAGAAAACCAAGGGGGCTCAACCACTATCCTTATCCAACCTCTAAAAAACAACCAGTTCTTTACTTTAACCAGTGCTTTTTTTGTTAAAAAAAAAAAAGTGCCGGAACTCACATATGTCATACAACCCGCCTTGCCTACCTTACAAGGTTCCATTCAAAAAAGGTGCCGGAACTCTGTTCTGGGCATTCTATGACCAAAAAAAGCCCTGACTTTAACAATTTGGCAAAAGCCAAAAGGGCAGAAGCAGTATGGCTCTCTAGGGGAATATCATTCCACAGAACAGGAGATCACTGAGAAGGCACACTTCCTAGTCATGTGAAGTGGGGCTGCTTAATGGACAAGACACGGAGCATGCCCACTTTAGATGACCTCACTAGATGGGAAGAAACATGTGGACATATGTGGTACCTCAAGTAACCAAGCTCTTTGTCATGAAGGTCTTCTGTAATAGTCTGTGAGAATGACCATGGGAGACAGAAGGAAGAGCTACGGACCAGAAAAAGGTCAGATAACGAATGGGGACATGGCAAACATCTCAGAGAAGACCTTCACTTGTTTCCTGGATTGTAAACACAATGGGGGAGAGATGTACTTTCAGACTTGCAAGATTTTGTTACAACAAAGTTAGAGCTAATAATTCTGAATGTGCTTCTTGTCAGGAAAACTTTGCAGGATTGAAAGCATCATAGATGATATTCAGTATTTTGAATTGTACCCAATTGCAATCAATGCAGCTCATGAAGCATGTAATTAAATGTAAACATATAATTTGCTCATGCTGTTCAAGAAAATGCATGAGGGCAGGATGTCCATGGGACATGGCAGGCACAACCACACAATTAAAATTCCATCTCTCTCTTTTTTTTTTTTTTTTGTATGCAACATGATGGTGGCCATCATCTTGACTTCAAAGGAGCTAAAGATTTGGTGCAATCACTTATTCAAAACAATACACCACCCTGTGTAGGCACAATGTTTTTGCAGGTAGAGTGCCACTGACCAAACTTAACATAGACAAAATATGGGCTAAGTAATTAAAAACCCTTTCCCTCTTTTAAACCTATGGAAACCTCACTTTTCTCACCATTGGGCATGTGATACCTCCTTGTTTTATTGACAGCACCAACAAACTATGCCTTAACACTGTATTTTTCTCCTTCTTGATGGTGCACAGCTATCTTTTGAGAAGAGTTTAAAAATCATAGAAGAAAATAGAGACAAAAGGAAGGAGCACGATGGGAGCCAAACAGGGAAAAACAAAAACAGATGAGCTGCTCTCACAAGGTGGTCAAATAGGCAAGAATCAGGAGACAAGTATTTCCGCTATCCCCAACAATTTATAGCTATTGCAGGAGGCAAAAATATTATCTACAGAAGATGGAAATGAGCATGAGGCTAATACCAGCTTGGAGAAGGGAGGGGAACAGGAAAGGTCAAAGGATTTCCCCTTCTTTGGCAGTTTTATAGTTTCCAAAGGAAAAGTAGAATGAAAGAAAACATCTTACATCTGGTTTAATTAGATTACCAAGTGGGGCAATCTGATACTTGCTGATGTGTTGGATCACATTTCCCGTTATTCCAAGCTGGCATCTCCATTGGTCAAGAAAGCTTTCAAGTGAGGACCGGCACAATGAGTATTTGATCAAAAACAAAACTGGCTAGTTTTATTCTAATAAACATTTGTGTGGTTTCCAGGTGGACAACTCCTAGTATTACAGTCAATAGAATTTGCACAGCTACTGTATTCCATCTTTTGCTCCTTAACAGATTGTCATTTTTTCTTTCCAATAAGGAAAATAATGGAGGGATGATTGGACCTAATCTTGCCCTTTAAACCTCTTGAATGTAGCTGAAAATTGCAGAATAAAAATCTTTGTTTCAGAGGATTGATGTTCCCTCACATTTCTTAATCATTCCATGTTTATGAATTGTGCTTTGTAATCCAATGCCACTTCTGTTAGCTGCAATGCTTCATATATGCTTAGCTAACCTAGTTCATGTATAACAGCATCGTAGTTGAATTACCACAGCATCCAGAGCCAGCATCCAGAACTGAGTCATTCTCTCTTCTTTTTCTGCCTCTCAGGATTCTTCTTTAATATCATAACTGATTTTGAAGATCCTTTGCTACCTTCTACCCTGTTCACTTCATGACAAACTTTTTTTAAAAAAATATTCCTGATTCTCCATCAACCTCTGGCTTTTTAAAGTACATACTTGTCCTGGAAAGGGAGAAATTGGGTTATGTCTAGTATGATGTAATAATTCATCTATTAATATCTCATATGGACATTTATGAATCCATAAATCTTTGAACAGGCATCCTGGGTAATATGGGATTCCCCTCCCATGATTCCCAGCCACTGCGGTCAATTGAGCTGCTGTCTTAAATACAATACAGGTTGTTGCAGACCAATCCTCCTTGAGGCAATTGGTTGCAACTAGCATTTCACCCAAAGTCCAACCCAGTGTTTGGAATGACAATATTTCATTCAAGATAGTGAAAAGAGTGAAGCCAAAACAGAATCTCAGTAGAAACATTTCTGTATTTTGAGTTTCCTTGCAGATTCTTGTTGGGCCAGTAACTTCTGTGAACATAAAAAAAGTTGATTAAAAAAACATAAATGGCCATAGAGTGTAACTTAGAAAGTGCTCACTGGAATCTTTTGCACTTGGTCCTCTCCATCGTAACTGCGCTTTAAACACTACTCTTTGTTGGGCCTGTATTACCTCAGAAAATTATTCACTGTCAAAAAGGAAAGATTCACTTCTTGGTTCCTCCCCCCATTCTCCTTTCTCTTATTAGTTTTTGGGAAGAAAAGGCAAAGGCAGAGATGGAATTGAGTCAAGGAGTCAGGCAGTGAAGCAGAGCTGCCTGCTTGCCACCCCATGTGCCTCAAGGCACAATCTGTCTCCCAGATGTAGAAGAGAGCAGTCACATTCCCCAGTAATGCAAAACAGGTTGCTTTTGCAAAGCTTATGGAGGCGGCAACATGTCAGTTACATGCCAGACTGCAGGTCAACTTTGCCCATCAACAGTGCAGCTTCGTGTCTTTATAAACATGGGGGCCGCTCAGAGCAAGGAGGGCTTGATGTGGAGAAGATGCAAAGATCCAGTGAGAAGATCCCTTGTCACTCTTTTCCTAAACTGACAGGAATTTCTGGGTCAGATTAGGAAAGGGTGAAAAATTATTCTTAAATTAAGAATTAACAAGCATTCAGATATTGGTTTACTAGCAAGTTGGAAAGATGAGATTCTGAAGTTTGTAAAGGAAAGCAAATAGAAAGCAAATCTATTTGCTTTTCCACAGACACTTGCTAGAATGCTTTTATGTATTCACACACATTTATGGTCTCGAAATAGAATTGCTATTCCCCCTCTCCACCCCCACCCCCACCGCGCTTGACTTGCTCCTCATCTTTAAAGTTACATGGAAGTCAAGAACATTTTTAGCCTTTCCACAGATTAATAAATAATATCATTTGGTTCATTTTTAATAAGAAGTTGCTATACTTCACCAATTTGCTACATATATAACTTCATATGTATTAAGATTTGAATGTGGGAGCAAACAAACCTTAAAGAGTAGGCTTAATTTTGAACCACTCTCTTTAGGGTTCAGCCCTATAACATGCAAACCAAAGAACAGAGAATTAAAGCACATTAACAGAAAAGGATCCTTAATCATCAAGTCTAATTATCCCTTGTACAGAAGCCATGTTAGTTAGTTAGTTAGTTAGTTTGTTTTTATTCCACTTGTATTATTTTACAAATATATCCAACACACCTTCCTCCTCCTATTTTCCCCATAACAACCCTGTGAGGTGGGTTGGGCTGAGAGATGTTACCAGAAGCAATGCCTATGCCAGTGTATAAGGAGATCAAGTGGTAGTGAGTATCTACAGCAATGCAAGGGGAAGACGAAGGCTGTAGCCTAGTCCTGTCTACTTTTAGCCCTAGGCCTAGAGTGCCATCTGGATGCATTGGCCAAAGTAGCTTCCCAGGAGATCAGGCTTATAGAGAGACCTTGAAGTTCACTGGATAACTGTATCACCTTAGTTCAGACAGAACACTCTTAACTTCATCCTCTTATAGGGTTTCTGTGAAGAACTGTGTACGTATTGCCTTGAGTTAGGTAGGAATTCAATAAATATGGAAAATAATAAAACCCACAAAGGAAGTGGGCAAAATAATTTTGCCTCTAATTCTAAAGTGCTGTCTGCACAAGTCTGGACGGGGAAAAACAAAGTGGATTCCAACTCTTATTATCATGTTAGAAGAGAGAAAATACTTATAAAACTTCCAGGATGGAGTCAGGTCCTGCCCATGTTACAGGCAATACAGATGGTGGTTCCCAACTGCTCTGGCACCAGAGTAAATGAGGATTAGAAACTCCCTGATGCAAGGAAACACTAAACTGTCTTGAGAGTTCCTGAGATGCCATTTCAAAGAGCCATTGGACAATAGCTTATGCAGATAGCCTGCAGCAAATGTTCTCATTGCTGCTTGAATATGCCATGCCAAATTGGTCAGTACAAGAAAATAAACACAATAGTATTAATCCCAAATTTGGACATGTAAATTATGTTGTTTGAATACATTCTTACAAAACACTGAGCAAGATGGGGCTTGCAGGGGGCGATTTCTGCCCTCCTAATTCCTAACCACAAATATTACTCAGCACTGCACTGCCTTGTTTATTATGCTTCACCATAACACAACTCCCCACCCCAAGAGCCTCTTGCTTTTGACCTTCAAAAGAAATACTTTCTACCAACTGGTGAAAGGGAAAATTATTTTTTCTCTCTCTGTCTCTCTCTCTCTCAGAGAGAGGGGGGAGAGGGAGAGGGAGGGAGGGGAGAGAGAGAGAGAGAGAGTTGGCTCAGTTGTAGACAGCCCACATCCAACTATGGCTTTGTGCCGTTGCTCACTGCATCTTGACTCACATTTCTCATTCATTTGTACAAGTCGCTTTGGGCATTTGGCATTTGCTCTACAGGGAGTGGTTGTTTTTCCACCAGGGAGGGTGGCTAGCATTTATAGGATACTCAGCAAGAGTCTGCAGT